CCAGAAAAATCTAGATGGAAGACAGATTTGTCTAGCAAGCATTTAAATTCTAACAGAAACCCCTGAGGCAGAACAACTCCCCAAAAGGCACCTGCTCCCTGGTGCGATCTGTGACATAGGTGGCCACAGCACAACCCTCCTGAATGCCACCAAAGCCCTCCACCTACAAGGAGACTTTCAGGGCTTTCTGTGGTCGCTTGTAGAGATGGAGAAAGGATCTCGTATCTGAGGAAAGCGTAGACTTACTGCAAACGCTCATGCTGAGAACAAATGGGGCTTTCTGCGGAAATGACTTCAAACATCCTTATTGACAAGGAAAGGAGAATAATCCCAAACTGGTGGAAATACGTGGCCCAACAGAAATAAAGTTAATGTAACATGGCAATATCCCAACCAGCCTCTATTTACCAGATAGTCTCTCCTCTGAGTCATGCATTGATGTGACTATTAATAATGCACTGTTATAAAAATCCATCCTTGTAGGAGGAAGGATGCTGTCAAGACTCGAGCAATTTCTTGTTTTCAGTGAAATATGGGTAACATTTGTGTTGTGTTTTCAATCCCTCTTTTCAGGTTATTTTCCATTTCCACTTTAATAATAATCTTTAGGCCTAAAATAGCATCTTGCTTTTACAACCAGAGTGACCTTTTATGTTACGTGCTGATTAGCTGGAAACAAACAACTTGTTCAGTTTCAGGCTGACAATAGGTACTGCTGCTTTCGCCTCAGTGGGTTTCAGCAGGTTAAGTTGGTCTCCACTGCTTCCAGTCTGCTGATGGGGAAACCGAGGCAGGGGGCAGGAAAATCACCTGCTTGGCAATGTCAGCCAGCCAGGAAGAGGTCTGGGAGCAGTGCTGGCGTGATTGCACTGGTTAGGGGATGCTGTCCTTGGGAAGAAAATATGAGAACCCTGACGAATGTAATTCACTTACAGGTGTTTTAGAAATTTCCCACCCCTTGCAAAATAGTGAAAATTGTAGGGCTCTTCTGAAAAAGGGAGGTTTCTCTCTCACAGAGAATTGTTCTCAGAGTACAAAAATGCCTGTTCCTTCAAAAAACCCACAGTTTGCAATTAATGGACTTTGGTACAGCACCAACAGGACAATTTTTCCTCAGGTTTCATATTTGGTTCATGTATGATATTTCCTTTTCCAGCTGCCATAACAGTCCCTCTAAATTTTGTGCTTTCCAACAGTGTTTGAATTCAGTGGGGACTATGGCACCAGGTAACACTTGCCTTTAATATTAATACCTACTTTTTATTCTGGAGTTACCTGGGTTAGTTCAGAGAAGAGATTCTCCATGGTAAAGCCCTCGTGCTTTGTTTCACAATGGACTCCTGGAATATTTCAATATTCCCATCTCCTTGGGCTGCCTCTTCTAAGAACCCATGTTAACATTGCCTGAAATATTATTGGAATTACATAGTAACTTCAGGCAGGCAGGATGATTTTCCTGCCCAGACATAATAAACGCCCTGATGATTTCCCCCCTAAAAGTCAAAGCAGTGCCACATGAAATGCCCAAACCTTTTGAAGAAGAAATACCCCATTCACCCAACACATGCTTCAGGGCTGATACACAGGGGGAAAAGCACGCTCAGCATTACATCTACAACCTTAGTCAGCCTGTTGCTTCTTAGATACCAATCCACGCCTACAGGGAGCTCAGATTTTCTTGATAGAGAGTTCAGGACTATCCTTGAAGTAAATGATACCTGAAGAAGCTCTCGCCTCTTCTGAGCTGCAGCCAAATGCTGGAGAGGAACCCAATAATGACACTGCTGTACTGGAGCAAACAGATAAGCAGGTGACCTCAGCATGATAAGCTGCTGCTCCCAAGAGTTCAGAAATCTTCTGTGAAATCAGAAAAGCAGGCAGAGTAGCTTAAAAAAAAAAAAAAAGTTATTAAAATAATAATTGAATGCTGCATTCCCCAAAGGACAAGAGGCCAGGGAACAAGACAGAGGGATGACTCCTGCCGGTGGAGCATGATGACCGTGTTGATCAGACCTTTAACAACAACTTGGTCTGCTCAGGATGCATTTTCCTGTAGGCATCCTGATTTAGCCAACACGGCTTGGACAGGCAGCTGCAGCTCTTTGCCCACGGGGCTCAGCTGTGGACTCTGAGCTGACCAGCTGGGGCCCACAGGAGGCCCAAGCCCTCTGCACCCACACCCTGCAGCTTTTGGGGAGCAGAGGGCACTCCTCCGTTACAAGAAGCAATCCAAGTTCTCTCAGTAAAGCCTTTCTCAGACACAAATGGGTTTAACAGCAAACAAAATGGAAATTTGCAATCTGCTTTTTTTCCATCTGCAAATTTTCTTGCCCACTGATGAAAGAAAATTCACCCCACCACACACCCCGAAATGGTTTTCCACCCCCTCAGCAAGTCCTTGGGCTGGAGACAGAGAGAGAAAAAGGACAGCTGGAGATAAACAGCTATTTGCAATGCATGGGCTGCCTGAGATGGGTTTTAGGACTAACAAGGTGATCTCAGCAGCCGTGTGACTGCCAGACTCCCAGCCCTGCAGTGATGCAGGGCACATTTGGAAGTTTTCCCACCTGTCCCCCCCAAATTAGTCTCACTATTGCTCTTTTCCCTCTAGGTGTCCCCTCCCTTGCTTGTAGAAGTACAATGTGAAGGTGAGGGAGCCCACTCCTGGTACCCAGAAGGGCAAATCGAGCACCACATGCAGACCTGGGGTGCATCCCTTGGACACAGCCACCCAGACACCATGAGAAAAACTGCACCAGGCTGCTCCTGCTCCTCCCTACTTTACACTTAGCCTCCAGCATGAGTTAGCAAAGTACGGATTTTTTGTTATTTAAAAAAAAGTTTTGCAGTGAGTAAATAAAAAAAGAACATTGTGCCAAGTGACCCTTGCATGCATTTTAACTCCAGGAACATATCTGGAAAGAGTTAAGGAGCAGTCAGGTCAACATTTATGCCAGCAGGACTAAATCAGCAGTAAATTCTGATCAGGAGAGGGAGGTTGATGACACCGAGGAGCCAGCATCAGAGCAGAAACTGCTCAAACCAGATTAGCCAGCAGCAGGAGGGATTGCCTGCCTGCACGCCCAGCTCCAAGCAGCACCCTAGCTCGGATGAGTATGTGCAGATCAATGCTGCATCGTGGAACTCTTATCTCTTGGCATGCGTCCCCTGATGAACCAGCCTGAGGTCCTGAGCAGCACCCACTTGCACAGCACTGCTGTTGCTGCTTTGAAGGGCTGCCAGAAAGCCCTGGAGGTCTCCACACCCCACAGCCATGGTTAGCTGTGGTGACACCAGCGGATGGCAGTCACCTTCAATGACTGGATGCAAGGCAGCCTTGCAGGGTGCAGCTGCAATATCTTCTCAGCCTCATCTAGCTTTCCATGCAGCAGGATCTAGCTTCTTATCTGCCTCTCTTTCGCAAACAGACCTATTTCTTTTTTTTTCAAGTGAGAGCAAGAGCCAGCAGATGTCTATTTTCTTTCACGGTCAGCTTAGGTCTTCTCCTCTCTCAATATGAGAGAACACGGCTGCCTCTCCTATTTCTCCATCTCCTTTGCAACAGCTTCATCCTGGCATCATGATTTCCTGCCAGCTTTGGGAAAAGCACCCTGTGTCCCCTAAGCCTCCCCTAAGGAGTGTGCCTGGAGGGCCCTGAAGAGCTCGCAGGGACAAAGTGGTTTGTCCCACCTTAGCCTGTGGTCCCCCCGGCTGCTCCCAGTCCCACCCTGAAGCTGGAACAGAGCCAAGCCCACCCCAGAGCCAATTGCCTGCACTGATGCAAGTGTTAATTTTCACCTATGGTAAATGCTTCTTTGAATAATTTATTGGTTATTTATTCTGCCTGAGAGGAAGGTCGGACTGTGCATGTAAATGGAAACACTCTGCAAAAGCTACAGAACAGATTAACAATTAACTTCTCAGCTGGACAAAGTTTTAAAGACTGACTGATGGAGAAGATCTGACACGTGGTGTTCATCTCAGGTCAGACAAGCTTCACCTATGCTGCTTTGCAGAGGGTTTCCCAAAGCATGCCTGAAATGCATCCCATGTCCCTGAATAACCTGACATCAGCAGCGTCCCCTTCTCACCACCACTCCCATAGAGGTGGAGAGGGCTTCTCCACCCTTCAACAGACAGCTGACTTGCACAATGCTGAAGTTAAGCCATGCCAAGGGCTCTTTTCCCTCACCACAAGCTTGTGTGCCTCCCTGTTCTGAGCCAGGGATGCTGCCCTCTGTCACCATCTTCACAGAGGGGACAGCCCAAGCACTGCCCTGAATAGGCAGTGACAGAAGGGAAAGAAGGAGCAAGATGCTAAAAAAGTGACACAAACCAGACACAGTTGCAGTGAAGGACTAGCTAGCTTGCCCAGAGATGCTGTCACTAGAGAAGGTCCCTGGCATTGTGGCATGATGACAGCTAGGCAAGTGCCTCCTTGATTTTCCAACCATTCCTGACAGAAGTTAAAGGCCCCTCCAAACTCTGGTTCACTAAAAAACAGCAGTCCTTTCTATTTCTCGAATAACTATATTTTAATGCATTTTTGTTTACACAAAACTCCTGATATTATCAATCACTTGGCAGGACAGTGGGGAAGAGTGAGGTCCCTAAAACAATCCACCACTGATGATAATCATCTTTGTTACCCTGAAAGTAAGATTTTTCAATCAAAAGAAGTTTTCTCCCTCTCTGGTTAAGTCCTGCCAGCTCCACTCATGCTGACAATGCCAGCATGTACATCTGCAGCACAGATTTCTCCTGGGACTTTTGCAGAAAGCCAGACTTGGGTGGGTTTGATCACTTTAAAAAATTGTTTGTTAAAGTTAATAGCATCTACTTTCCTCCCAGAATAATGTCTGCAGCAAAATGATCCAACTGGGGTCCATACGAAACAGCAGCACCATATAATTAACTGGGATACGATAGAGATATTGGGGACTTTGGGTGATGATATTGCAGAGCTGTTCTCTCATACAGACAAACAGATCACTACATTATAACAGGGAAGACACAAAGGATATTTATTATTATTGTCTTCAAGCAAAGCTTGGTTTAATACACAATAGTGGATGGAAAGCCACAAGTGAAATAAAAACCCTCTAATTCACATCCTCACTGTTAAAATTACAGATAAAACAGTGATCCTGCATGTACAGAAGCCCAGCAAAATAGCAGGAGAGATAAAAATAATATATATGTGGCTGAAATCCAAACTACCTCAGACAAACCCGATTGGATGAAACAGTTTACCATGAAGGAGAGGGGGAGGCAGAATGAAGAGGCCACAGCAGAAGAGGATGAATGATTTTATGGGCTTTGATACTTAATGGTCCAACTGGAAATGATATGAAAGTCCCCGATTTTCAAGGTGACTGGTTCGAGCTGCCTCAGACATCAGCTGCCTCGAACGTCAGTGGCCACTCCTGGAAGCCTCAGCTCGGCGCACTGAGGCTGTCTCCAGAGACCTGCTCAGCAAGAAGGCAGCCGGCCTCCAAATTTGGCCCCAACCCAAACTCTTTAAGCAACGGCTGATCTTGGCAAAGTTTCTGCTCTGTAGATTGAATTCAAAGAGCTTCTTCATGCTTTCCGACCTGGGATTAGAAACATTTTCATTCAAGAATTTAAAATTTATTACATTTTTAGTCCCAGCTCTGGGGTATCTGGTGCATTTTTTTTTTTCTAACAAGGTTCTTTTTCCCCTTTTAACCCAAGATAAGCCCTACTTCCTTGGGTGTCACAAAGCCACAGGCATGATCAAAGCCCACTCGTACCTGCCAGGAGGATACCAGTCTCGTGCTGTGATTGCCCAGGTGGTGTCTATGTATTTGAATTATCAGCTTGAATCCAGTAGTTATTAGTGACTGCTGTCATTTATGTGCCTCTGACCTCCAGCAGTTTGTCCATCGCATCTGCCAGGGCTGGGGGGACAGGGACAGCCCAGCCACTTTCCACAACACAGTCCCTGGACCCACTCTGACACCCGGCATGTGCCAGGCCACAAAGGGTCCCTGCTTGGCCTCCTTGCTCCCAAGTGACCCCTGCTCCTTCGGGGGGAAGCTGAGGCACAGCACAGCCACAATGACCCTGATCACAGCCCTGGTTTGACCTGCTACCAGCCTGCCTCTGCCACAGACAGGCTGCCTCCAGCACCAAGCAGGGCTTGGACCTGGCCCACCCTCTCCTCATGAGGGTCCACCCTCACCTTCCTGCCCTGCACCTTCTCCTCACCGAGCAGCCTTCAGTTTTATACACCTCAAACCCTTGGGTGTCCAGGTATCCTTGAGCAAAGGACTCCTGGGCTGAACGAGCACAGCCAAAAGGCAAATGAAATCCCAGGTGGTGCAATGGAAGTCACTGGAAGAGCTCTCCGGACTCCTCCAAGTGCCAATTGCCAGCAGTCCAATTACATTCATGTCTCCGAGAGATTTAATTGCTGAGCTGCTGAAGGGAGAAGCGACCTATTATGGATCATTGTTTACAGCAAATTAGTTCAGAAATTCCCATCCTTCTGACTGTCATGCTCAGAGGGCAAACTCCCTCAGCTGTGCCAGCCAAGGGCTTCGCCGGCTCCAGCCAACACAAACTCATTCACAGGGAAGAGCTGAGCAAAGACACCCAGGGCAGGAACACAGCCTGGCTGCTCAGCAGAAGAAAGGCCTGAGATGAAAAGGGTCTGACACAGAAAGCAACAGCTCAGATGAAAAAAAAATCTCCAAGGAAAGAAGCTACAGAGGCTCTCTCCGCAGCAGCTGCTGGGGGACAGCTCAGGCACACCTACAGCATTGCTCCGGTCAGGCCTGAAGGCTCAGATCTGAGATTAAACAGAGCTGGTGGAGCAGTGGGCTGGGTGGAGGGCCCAGGTGAGGCTGGGCAGGGCTATTGAGGCTGTCAGGGCTCTGACAGCTTTAGAGCGAGGGAGTCTGTTTCTTGAGGGTTCCTAAAAGAGGAGGGGAAAGTCACAGATCTCCAGGCTGTTTGAACTCTAGAAGTAAACAAAAGGAATGCCTTTGCAGGATGTGCATAAGGCTGGGCTGAAAAGGTATTGAGAAGGATGCTGTTTTTTTTTTTTTCTTTTGTTTCAAATGTACATTTCTGATGGCTCTAAGACTCCTCTCCAAGTCAAGGCAGGTAGACTGAAGGTAGGGCCAAGGGTAGACATCTCTGTCCCATGGAAGTCTCCTGGTGGTGTAGCTCAGTGCAGTACTCCTACCAGAGCCCTGATGGTCTTCGAGAGACAGCACTGGGTAGTCACAGCCCCTAGGGGTGCAGCAAGCTTGCGTGCTGCTCCCTGGGCTTTGTTGCTATTGTGCATGGATAAATACAACATCAGGACCACATTATCTGGACTGTTAGCTAGAGATAAAAAGAATTAAAGCAGGGGAACACAAGAAGCTTAAAAACAGGCCTGCCCTTGACTTGCACAATATATTTCAACAGACCCATAAAAAGATCAGGGAATTCACTCAAGCATGAATAGTTACAAGCATAAAAGAATGGCGGTATTATATTTATTATTAAAGCCCTTTTAAAGCCCCCTTATTGCAGATGGATTCTAAGCCTCTGGGGAAAGTCAGGGACAGGATATTTAGCAAAAATGTTATTAAAAATAGAAATTGTTTCCCATGACTTAACCTTATTGCCTGGGGGGAAATCACTTAGGTGATGTTATTGGAGAGCATACAGCCAGGAGACTGATTGTTACGGAAGACTATGCAGAAGGTTTCTGGAATAGCTGCAGTGTTTCTGCTTCCAGGAAAGCAAATTTACCTGTGAACCCCCAAAAAACTCCAGGAGACTTCTTCCTCAAGTCCACATGCCTTTAGCCATCCTATAGTTGCTTCTGCAGTTCTCTAACTGCTGCCTGAAGGTGCTTCTGAGGATGGGAGCATTCTACCTCCTGTGGTGCAATAAGTAGAGGGCAGACAGGGCCATCAGCTGCTCAGGGTAAACACAATTCATCACATCATCACCTGGCAATTTATCACAGAGATAACATTCACATGTGTCAAGTCCCCAGCCCCAGGATGCTCCAGTTCACCGCTCCTTCCTGGTCCAGAGGGACTTTGGGGTGGTGAAACAGGGGCATGCAGGATGGTGCCATGGTTTGCTTGCTGATCTAGTTCCAGCCTAATGTTACTAATAGAAAGCACTTTTTGCTTTTATTTTTATTTTTCTGCCCAAGTTTCCTTTAGAAACTGCAAAAAGGTTCGGTTATGACAAATACCTCCTCTGCCCTATAGCCGTGGCCAAAGGCTCCTTGTCAAAGCAGCATCAAATGTGACCCTCCCCTGCAACGATGGCCTTAGGTTCTTTGAGAAATATGGCTTCAGAGGCCACAGAAATGCCAGCGGGACTGCTGAGCTGATCAAGTTGTCTCCTGTCTTCCTCCTGGGATACATATCAAGCAAGATGGGCAGATATCAAACATTCATCACAAGCGCTTGTCCCTTCAACAGCTGACATTGGTGCAGCAAAACACTTTTTGATCACTTGAGCTTAATGTCACTGCAATCATTGCCTAGAATGTAATTTTGTCTTTAAAAAAAAAAAAAAAAAAAAAAAAAAGAAGGGAAGGGAAGGGAAAGAGGATAAAAAATGAGACTCAAAGGTCTCCACACTTTAAAAAAGCTGGCTCTGAAGTTTTGCAGCAAGCATCAGATCTCAGCAAATTCTGTAAACTCCCCCCCCCCCCCCTCCCCACCCATATTTGGACATTTTCCTCCTGCCTAATGATATTCCATCCATTATATAACTTCACAGATACTAGAGAGCAGTATTAGGGAGTTCAGCTTCATTATTAGTACAGTTATTGTCCTTTGGAGACTGAGCTAATGGCCATTTGTCTTCTTCAATTCAATTAACAACAATCCTCACTGGACACCACGTAGGTTACACTCAGTGACACACCACTGCACCCCCTCCTCCAGCAGGACACGACCCCATCTCTGCAGACAAGATCTGGCTCCTTTCTCGCCAGCTGCACGCTATACGTTTTAGCAGTGCATCAGGAAATGGCACACTAAATTATCCAAGAACTCAACTGGGCAGGGCTTGAGCCAAGAAAATCCATTTATTGATGGCCATTCCCCCTCTGAAGTGCCTGAGAAGGTTGACAAGACAGAAACGTGCCTCCCCTGGTCAGCCAAGATGGCTCTTCCCGAGGAGGATAAGGTCACATCTTCACAAAGGATGAGCTGGAGGTCAGGGCCAGATGGAGGAAGAGTCTCAGCTTTTTTTTTTTTTTTTTTTTTTTTTTTTTTTTAAGAGGATGGAGCTTATAGCTGTGCACAATTTCATTGCTCAGGTATGTCAGTGTGACTCTTCCGCACAACTGCAGGCCACAGTACATTTATTTCCCCCTTATCCTGGCCTCTGCTCCACAAATGCTCGTGTCACCAAGTTCAAGGAGCCTCATGTAGGGACTGTTCAGTGCAGGCATGCTCCTCTGTGATGTTCCTGCCTTCCAGCACGTGAGCAATCCTCACACTCAGAGCAATGGCTTGTCTTTGCATCCTCAGCATGTTTCTGTTCCACTTCCAGCTCCACATGGGCCAGCACCATCACCCAGAGGTCTGCAAGAGCAGTGCTGCATGAGTTTTAGAGTGGTTTGACATCCCATTTGGAGACAGGTCTGGGACTCCAGCTCCATGTGGTCACTGGGACACGAGCCACTGACCTGAGGGGCTTTCATGGCTGCTGCCCAAAGCCTTGCAAGCAGAGGGAGACACGGAGGAGCACCACGCAGAGCTCCCCAGCAATGCTCAGCGAAGCTCTGCAGCGGCATGTGGTGCGCAGAGGTCGGAGGGCAGCCTGCTGTCATAAATAAGACACCCTCTGCTGCTGGCACGCGGCGGTTTCAATGGAAAGCATTAATTGCTGGCAAATCACCCTGGTAGCAATTCAGCCTGACAAATCCTTTATTAGATCAAAGCTTACACTGAAAAGGTGCAGGATCGGCCTGTAATTTATGGGCGCAGAGGATCATACTGGGAGCGGTCAGGAAAGGCACCAAGTCTCCTAATTACTCCACAGCAGTTATTCCCTCCGCCTTCACCAGCTGGACAGTCAGCAAACCCCTCACAAAAAGAGCCCAAAATGTGGGGCTGTAGGTCTTTTCTTTGGGGGTCAAGCAGGCGGCTTGACCACGAGGCTGGTCTGGGGACCCAGCGATGACACCAGCAGCCTGGGCTCAGCCTCCCCAGGGCTTGCTCCCTCCACTAAAAACCACCAGCATCCATTTTGTCAACGTGTTTTCTGCTTTTCAAAAGCAAACTCCAGCCAGCTCATCTATTTATTTAGGGGCCAAGTGGAAGATCTCTGCTGTACCCAGCTAAGTGCAGGCTTGCCTGACCAGCTGTGGTGCAAGGCACGCTCCAGGAGATGTAAGGACCTGCACTGAATACACCTCAGGGCTGACCTTCAAAAAACACTCCTGAATGACCAGGACACCTTCACCTGAAAGGCCAGGGCTGGGGCTGGACGGGGTGGCAGGGGTATGCTGGCAGAAGCCCCTCCAGCTTCCCCCCCAGCTCCAGGATCCAGGGGGAAGGAGCAAGCGCAGCCCTGCACCGCTGCGGCTGTAAGTAACAGTGATGGGATCACTGAGACGTAGCAAGATTTATCACTTTCTCCCGAAGAGCGATTGCCTGCTTGGTGTCCTCAGTAAATAATGCTCTGCCTGCATCATCTGGGGACATCATTAACCCAGGAGACAGTGACACCACTTAACCCCTCACAGGCTCACCCAGCTCTGGGAAGCTGCCTGGGATGTGTGGTTACTCACAGACAAGGTGAGGGGGCACTGCCAAAACTCACATCTGGGAGGAGGGAAGGCAACGCAGCCATCTGATACCCCGCAGGAGGCAATGCAGTACTGAAGGGCTCCCATGAGCAGCTCCATCCTCCGCCTGTACCTGCTGGGGTGCTAGCAGGAACGACCAGGCTACATGGGCCACTTCGGCTTCAGGAAGGTCCTTGGGGCAGGGAGTCACGCAGACCTCAGCCGGGCACATCAGGCTGTCCCCCTGCTCCGGGTGGCCCTGCTAGAGGGGGCCTGGACCAGAAATGCCTTCCAACCCCACCAGCATCTTAATGGCCTTTCTCTGATCCTTTGCCAGAGAAAGATTTGTACTGTCAGCATCTGCAGCCAGGCTTCCCGCTGGCCCCGAACCATGAGCTGAGCAGCCAGGGCTGAAATTGGGCTTGGGTCAGGAACTTGATACGTGGACACTGTCCAAGCTGGTGGGGAGCTGTCACACACTCATTTGAGTAAGAAGAAGTTGTACAAAAGCTTGCTAGTTAAAGAAGTGCTGTAGGAAAGGCTTGCAGGAGCACGGCACAGGGGTTCAGATGCTCCCAGGAGGCGACGGGGTCCAGGCAGGGACCAAAGCTTGGGGGGACAAGCAGGGGACAGGAGCCAGCCTGGCTGCACACACCAGCCCTCTTGGTTTCAGGCTGATAGGGAAGAACCACAGTTATTTTTCCTCAGAGCCTTGTTCAGGCTGGTTCACAACCAATTACTCACAGTCTCTCCAGGAGGTGCCTTTTTGCAAGCCACATCTTTCCAGCTTGTAGTATTAGGGGCCAGCATAAAGACCTGTTTTTTTCCTAGGAGTCAGTGACATTTTAATCAACTCTTCTGGATAGAGTTGCACATTTAAATGTTATGCTGTTTCCTTCAGATTTCCCCAGGCATTTCATGGTTTCAACATGGTTTCACTGCTTTCCGTGTCCCTCCAGTTCCAGACCTCATTTCAAACCAGCATTTACAACTGAGCTGCTCCAAGCTGATGAACGCTGTGAGAGCCTGCGGTCTTCAGCTCGGTGTTTAAATTGTTCCCCACCTCTGGGAGGAGCAGGGGTCGAACCCATTCCCTCCTCTCCCCCGCTCTGCGAAGGGTGGGGAGCTGTCGGCAGCTTCTCGGTCTATTACCCATGCTCTGTACATCCACACGTGTTCCGCAGTGAAGTGTGCCCGCTGCCAGCTGCTCCCCAACTTGCTGCTTTCCCCGTCACACCTGCTGTTAGCGGTGCCATTTGCCTCCAGCCTCCTCTGGAAGGCACATCCCCACGGCACACGGCTGGGTCCCTGCCCTCGCCCCACGCAGCCCCATCCTCGCAGGATCGGAGCAGACGGACCTGGCGTGAAAATCCTTTCGGAGCAGAGAGCAGCAGATGCTAAATATTCATGCAGCTACTGGTTCGCAGCGCAGTGCTGCATATGCAGGAGGTATTCAGGCTCCATCAACCTCTGGATGAGCGTCCCGTCCTCAGCAGCTCTGGGGCAGAGGCAGAAGCACCCCAAATACGCAGTGCTGGCGCACATGTCGGCAGGAACTGCTGTAACCAAACATGCAGGTAGAAGGCTTGTTGCCACAGCAGGACACACATTAATCCTTTCTGATGACTCCACCTATCCACACCCTGACTTCTCCTTGCTACAGACCCGTGGTCGTCCCTTTCCATGCCCTACATGCCCGTCATAACCCAGGCAGACTGCCTGATGCTCAGTAATTCCTCTTCTTCGCCCCTGAGATCGCTTCACTGCCTTAAGCTCTACTCTAAGGGACCTGGGAAGCAGCTTAAGCCCTGGTGCATGACTCAGTCCTCCCCCTTAGCTCTTAGCAAGGGAAATGTGAGTGTCTCCGCAACCTCCAGCAAGGTCTCTTGTGTGGTCCTGCAGTGCCACAGCTCACTGCAGCATCCCAGGCTTTCTGCCCCCGTGCGATGCTACCTTGCTGCCACCTATGGTTTGCC